GGCACACCTTGTCTGTTGAAAAAATCATCTCATATCTGTGAAGTTCACGGCTCACTCGTGGAAATTCTCCGGCAACCACTTCAGCGCTGAAACAAATACGCGAGTGTGTAGGTACAAGCTGCTGTTGTTGTTCTGCTGGAAAACATCCATTTTCTACATAGAAGATATGACTTGATTCACAGCTGAGGCACTTATACGGTTATAAAAGGTTTCTGGTGAAATCATCAGTTTGAAAACACACATCAGCTTCTCTGATAAACAGTCTGAGGTGAAAGCTAACGTATATCAAACTTCCAGGTGAATGTTAACAGACTCCTGGGTGCATTTCAATACTGCAAAGAAATACGGCACAGAACGAGGAACCAGCAGCCCCTCCCGGTTTACATCTCCATCGCTTTCCAGGCGAGCTAGTTAGTTTGTTAGCTTCTGCTGATAAGACAACCATATGCACCTCCTCCTGCCAGCAAACTTTTCCACTTATATTAAGTTTTGCTGCAAGATTTTTTCCTTTTAAACTGCTGCCGTGACCAGAGACAAACAAACCAGAGGATGCTTCAGCTGCATCAGGCTGATGACCACATCGGGCCTCACGTATCGACGTGTCGATAATCAGCAACTTCAGTTGTTTGAAAAGCTTTTGAAACACTTCAATAAAGGCTATATCTGGAAAACTGTCTTGGAGAAGGAGGATGTCTCAGTAGTCACAGGCAGATCAATGGATTCGCTGTTACTATATATAGTCGATATAAATGCCTTTTTGTTTCGGATGCTGTTGATACCGACTGCGACAGTTTTGCAGTATCAGAGAGACGTTTGAATTCCTGTCGTCGTGATAAAAGTTCGTACAGATGAGTGGCAAATTAAATGGAAAACAAACCCAACGAGTCTCAGAGAGGTGTTGAGCCACCACACGCCACCACAACAGCTCCAGTGCACCTTGGCATTGATTGATGTCTCTGGAGGGATGAAACACAATTCTTCCAAAAAAAAACATTCTCTCACGTCGTCGGGGTTTTTATGGTGGCTGTGGAGGCGCTGTCGTCTTAGAAGAGACCACTCCTATCAGGATAAATGGTTCAACACAGGATAAGGATGATCACCCGGGACAACTTTGTATTTATTGGCACTTTGGCCATGAAACAGAGCAACAGAACCTCCAGATCCCCACAAGGTTTTTCCTTTAATTTGTCACCCATCTGTACATATCACTGTTGGGTCACTTTACACAAAACTTAATTGCTGTGCTCAGCGCTGCTATTCCTGCACAGGTGTTCTCACTTTGCATGATTTGATCTCTTCGGAGGATTGATTGACACGTCTCTGATTCTTCTGTTTGTTCTGCTGCACACACACTCGGGGGGATTAGGAAAAGCACGAGGCTGCTGTTGTCGTGGTTCAGTGTCCGATGTGAGATGTTCTGGATAGTACGAGCCCAGGAGTAAGTTTGGAAGCCCAGCAGTAATTTTTAGTAGCGTGGGGAGTGCCAGGCCTCCGTCAGTCTTGTGAAGTTGCAACAAAGCTTTTCTGATTCCTGCAGGCGTGCTGCCCCAGAGGAAAGACGAGATGAGATTGTCTACATCTGTGAAAACCTTGTTTTTCTAAAGGAAGATGGAAATGTGCTGACAAAAACTCGGGAACAACCTACATTTTAACCAGCTGATTCATCAGGGAGGGAGGAGCTGGCCCGTCTCCCTGAGGTGGACGTGTTTTACTTTAAGGGAGGAAGAATTTGTGGCTTAAATATTTGTTAGAGACCCAGTTGAGGTACTTAAAGCCTTTGTACGCCCATCTAATGGGAAAAAACAACACAAGACAAAAAAAACCAACTGTGGAGGTTTTTTTTTAAGCCAAAGCATTAACTGGGAGTAATTTGCCCTTGTGGACAGATCCATTTTTATTTAGCGTAGTTGGCGATAACAGCAGCTTATGGTATTTAGATAGCTTTATCCTATTTAAATACTGTATATTCTTAATTAACTAATACGAGCTATTGTACAGCTGTTTGCTTTTGAACGCCGCCACACATTTGCACGGTATTACCGCCTTAATGCGAGTGCTATAAATAGACGCATTATTCTCTGCATTTGAATGTGGCCCCACGGAAAAAAAAAAAACCCAACAGAAACATAAAAAGGATGTGCATTATGCGAGACAGACCACGGATTTGTGCTGCCGAATATTTCCGTCTGCGTACGTGAGCACTTCCATTTGTTTTTTTTGTTTTTTTTTTGTTCGGTATCTTCACGGTGAAATTATTTAATCTCCATGTTTTTTTTTTGTTCGGTATCTTCACGGTGAAATTATTTAATCTCCAAACCTTCCTCAGCTTCACACGTCTGAAATAAAGTGTGCAAAGAGTGTTGTTGATTTCTACCTCGTGGAGTTACACACCTACGCATGTGTACGCGACGACACAAGCGTGTGTTTCTTGAGAGCTGACAGTTGATTTGCTTTTTTTTTTCATGTCTGTATTTTTCTGTCGCCCTCCTCCATTAAAACAGGTGTGGTGTGTGTTGTTCAGGCTGGATGGATCAAAACCAGTAGATTTAATTTAATGGGACGTGATACAATAATCACTGGTCAGAGGATCGAGGATGAGAATTATTTCGGGTTGCTACGCACAAATGAAACGCCACACCTCTTATACACACAAAATAAATGTGAGCAAACCCTAACACCAGCCGACACTTCCTCCAGATGTCTTTCCCTTCTCTTGTGCTTTAAGTGGTATCCTGTGTCCAAAGGCAATTGTTGCAGCAGAATGCAGTGTAAGGTTTTGCCAATGCCCCGGAGGAAATATTGAACACATACATTACTGTAAGCCAAGGAATATAAGGCTTACAGTCACAGCGAAATGGATCAGAGCCATCCTTAACAGCATTACCTGCACTTTCGCTTTTCCTGCCATGACAAGTCAAAATGTCTGCTGTTAAAGACGCCCATTTATCGTTCAAAATATAATGTATGCCTGCCACGGGGCGAACAACGGGGAGCGAGTTAGCTGCATCTGAGGCTGGTCGTTGTTGATTTTCACAAGAAAGTCAAGTTCTTTTCCACCTTTGTGCATGTGACTTGATTCTTGGCCCATTTATAGCTGCAGTCTTTTTCATACAAAAGAAGTATTTGAAAGAACTTCATTGACATTTAGACGACTTAAGGCTCAGCTGAAGTCAATAACTTTGAGGTTCTGCTGGGAAACTTCATCGTTAGCTTGATGCATAACACCGACATGAACTTTGTTGTTGATCAAATCTCTTCCTGTGTGCAGCAGCATCCCAAAAAAGGACAATTTGCCCCGATGCAACACAAAAACTGCTCAAGTGAGGCTCGAGGAACCCAACAAAGCCTCCAAAAGTCTCCAGAACGAGCCTGATCCACAGAGGCCCCACTCCAAAACCTACAGGACTCAACTGATCAAGTCCCAACAACCTGATTCTAGACACCGCTGAACATATCAAGGGATACTGTGCTCATGACCCAACAGGTCATAGATGTTCTGGCGATATTGTAAGAATTGGAGATGCCATGTTGCGCCAACAAAACACAAACTCGCCTTAACCCCACGTCTCTACGAATTCCTGAACAGTTTACTGATTAACTAATTTTGCGGTTCAAAACAGCTAATGCAAAATCAAACTGTTAATCCCTTAAACCTCGGAGGTCCATAGGCGTGGTGGAGCAACCTGATGCTGCTACTATGACGGAAATGCCGGCAGCACTTTTCTGCTTCATTTCAGCTGCATCAGATTTGGCAGAGTCACAGCTGAGAATGTCTAGAATGCACTCAGTGTTTCCTGACTCACGGTTTTAAGGCTGTTATTTACTGTCACAGGTTTTTATTTTGGAGTTTTCGAAAACACAAGAAGTCTTCCCATGTGTCTCTTTCAATTCATAGAGTCCAATGTATTTCAATTTGGCTTTAAAATTTTTCCACAGGTTCCTCCATGACGGCTCTATTTAGAGAAGCTGTCAATCCCAGCTGTCAGTCATGATGACATGCACTCCTTTCATAGCATCAAACACTAAAAAAAAACAAACAAAAGTTGACCCTTCAACGTACATCAATACGATAAGAAGTTAAAATCCCAGAAACCACATTTGGGAAGAGCTTCTCTGAGGTCTACTTTGCTTTTCTTTTGACTCATTTCCTTTCTACTAACATGAAGAAGACAGGGTTTATGATCTACAACCATCAGAACCCTTCAGAACATGAAAGCGTTTTCCAATCCGTCTCGACGGGCAGCAGGATGACATAATTTGTATGTCTGCTAATGGTGCCACAAATTACTGTTCTTCTGTCACGACACAATGCCACAAAGATTAAGGCGAAGGTTTAAGCACAAAAACGACCTGATTAGGTTTTGACCAGCATAATGGGTTTGGATTAGAACGTCCACTTCCTTGAGACTACGTCGGCTCCATCATCATGATTGCAAGAATTATATAAAAAAACAAAAAACAGGTGGAAAATAAAAGACAATCTGTTGAAACAGGAAACAAGCAGCCATCTCCCATGGCAACACCCCTCACCTCTGGTTAACCCATCCATCCACCCTGACCGTACCTCTATGTGGACATCGCGGCTGTACAAAAACAACTAATGTCTGTATTTGCTTCTTCTTGCAGTGGAGCCTGGACTCAGATTCTCGAGAAACTTTTCCCCACAAGCAAGACGGAACACATAACAATGTCTTCTACAATGAGCAAAACTGACTCGGGTTAGACCAGGGTGGACTTTTCAAATCTCGCATCAGCATCTTTGGAATAATGCTGCCGGTATTCACAGCTGTGCTCCTGTCAGTGCGCAGCAACCTCTGCAACAGGATTTAGAACCATCATGAGACATTACAGCCAAACTCAACTGACAGCGTACGCTTGTTTTCAGAAAACTAAATCTATAGTGTTCCTACCGCTGAGACGCAGGAAGGCAACGCTGAAGTCAAGATTGGACAAGAGTTCAAACTTTAAACCGAAACATGCAGTTAGTGAATCCATCTTACCTTCCAGTGATCAGGAGGAAGAGGGTGAGGATGACGAGCAGAGTGAAGCCGCCGACCGCCGCTGTGACGATGACCAACACCTGGCCTTGATCGGACGCCATGTCGGACGCTGAGGGTGGAGGAGAATGGGTGAGGGTTGGGAAGAAAAAATTGGGAAGACAACATAATGTAGAGTTGGGCAAAGTGGGAACGAGAGGAGGACACATATGAGAAGTTAAACATAAAGGACAGTCATGGATGATAAAAACGCAAAGGAACGAATGGAGGGGAATGAGACGGGTCGAGGAATAAAGTGAAAAGAAAGAGAAAATAAAAATCATTCAACATTATCTTGAATATTTCTCTCCATCAGTGCACCATACATAACCACGTAAGCGCTCTTGATGGGCAGATACTGCTGAGAGATGTTTGATCAGCTCTTTGTAAAGAGGAAAAAAAAAAAGAAAAACCTCTGTCAGCTCTGGTACTGGAATGATTCATTCGCCTGCTGCTGTTTAATTAATATTATTCATTCATGAAATTGTGATTTAGTCCATGATCATTTGGTTAAATTGGGCCCATTTGATATTCATGATTTTCTCTTTTCTGTGTCTTGTCACAAGGCTAACGAATCCCAGATAATTGAAAGATGATTGCTATTACCAAACTTATTTCTATAATATTTCATGCTTAATGAATATGAATTGGAGATCAGGGTGCATGGTCGCCAGCCCAGTCAGCGAGGCTCGTGTGGGTTTTTTTTTTTTACAGTATGTGGGCGTGCGTGAGCGTAAAGCCAAGAACATATATATGTATGGGGGATGTCAAGAACGTGTGCTTGTGGGTTTTGCTTGATAAAAGTAATTACGGACCGCTTAGGGGGAAGAGAGAGTGGAAGTGGCAAAGGCCTATTCTGCTGGTCGTCAGCTTCACACGCTCTTCACATCAACGCTGGACTGATGACGTGTGTGTGGAGAGAGAGAGGCGGAGGACAGGATGAAGAATGCAAGGTGAAGGATGAGGAAACGGATGACAGAAGAGAGATAAAGACAAACGAGAGCGAAAGAGAGAGGCGGAAGTGACAGACAGATACGGAAAAACCGGCGCGGTGACAATGACTGACAGGTGGACGGACAGACTGACAGAGAAGGAGAGAGTGACAGAGGCCAAATCTGCTTTCTCTTTCAGATAAAAGGCCAGCGAGTACAAAGGCTTGGCCGAGCTCCGTCTGATCCATAGATAAAGCAAAGCTCTGCAGCTTTGGAAGGGAGAGGGCCACTGTGAAGCCAAATCACCCCTCAACAATACCTGACCCGACATAAAAGGACAGGTGGACCTTTGTATTTCATGAGTAGACTTGCAAGCTACTTCGCACACAGAAAACATTGATTGAAAATACACCAAACATCAAGGCGGTGTTCCAGGACTCCCCTGTTGAAGATATTCAATTTCTCGATCGCCAATGTCACCGATATTCTGACCTTTAAGGCGTTAGCGAGCTATATGACATTCATGCTGCAGAGACGCCAAACGTTCTGGCTGCAGTTAGACCTCAGCGGGAGTTCCAGCTGCAGACAGCGAGCACGTTAAGGCTCGGTGCGTTTCAGCACATCAATTAAAACAAACAACAGTTGTCAGGAAAGATGTGAAATGTAGCATTGCTTAACATATTGTTTTGTAATTAAGATTTGGAGAGAACGAACGTGCTGTGATGAATGTCTTCATCCAGCATCGTATAGGAATCCAACATGACAGAACGTCGATCTGAGCTACATGTAGAAAGATTTTTCTACATGTTGCTCGGAAATGCACCCGTGACACATCAGTTTAATTATAAAGGAAACACCTGCAGTAAAGTAAACTCCCACTATTTTTTTTTTTCCGGTGTTAAATGAGGAAACACGTGAGTCCTGATTGCAGGTTTGAGACGTGAAAATGAAGTGTGATTGCTAATGTCTACTTTCGGCCTAAGTACGTTTCCCAGGATGCTAGCGGAAAAAAGCTGAAGGCTAGAATCCTCCTATGGAGGCTCATGTCGGTCTCATATCCAAGTTTATTATTTGCTGTTGTGCCCATGATGCAACTTGCCCTGGGTGCTGCTCCAGGCTACGTGAACTTCATTTGACCCTGAACTGCTGGGTGCAGCGAGCACCTCCAGCCTCCGACTCGAGAACAAGCACACAAAAAAACCCACACACTATATTAAAGCTGAAACTTTGGTGAAAGATTGAACCCAACTTTGTCAGCCTGAATGACAAATTATGATCATGATGCAAGGGGAAATCTCTTAAATGGCCTTGATACAGCCCATCAATTTGTTGATGGATCTTGCGACTGCTTGTGCTCCGTTCATACAAAGTGGACCCAGAATGGATGACTGACCTTTTTTATTTGTTTTATTCCAATGTTTTATTCCACATTTTGCTGCCATCATTTTATTTCTGCATATTTTACTTTCAGAATTACTTAGTGTCATGCAGAAAAACTGAACCTGGATCTTGTAACTGACCATAGACCTGGTGATAATCATGCTATTAGTCCTGAATCAAAGAGATGCAGCACACACAGAACTTTGTCATCAGCACAAGAGTTAAGAGTAAGAGCTGTGGACGGTGTGGGGTACTTACAGTCTCCTGTGGTTTCGTATTCATATTTCGGGCAGTAGGAGCTGTATCCAGCCGGCGTGCGGGTGCGTACACTGAAGACGTACCAGGTTGCTGGTTTTAAACCCGAGACGATCACACTGGGGGCCTTGGTGCGTGTCGACGAGTAGCTCAGCTGCTCGTGTTCCTGTTGGAGGGAGGTGATCAGAATAATGTTAGCAGTTTACAATGAAATAAATAAAAGGCAGATACATACGTCAGGGATGTTTGATTTGATAAGTCTGGTCCCTGTCAGCTACTCACATCACATCACCCTCCAGCAACATTGTAGTAAAAAGGAGCTCATAAGCTTTTCTGATCACTTTCAGGAACACAGCTACAGGCAGCTGATCATTTTTACGACACAATATTTAATACAGACACGCTACCAGGTGTCCGCGTAGTTGTACCGCAAAGATGTTCTGCATAATTTTCCCGAGTCTTGTTAAAATAATGTAGAGCACATAACAATCCAGCAAAAGCATAACTGAATTAACTAGTCAGCTTAAAAAGTGTTATTATCGGCCCTTCCAGCCATCCGAGGAGCACTTCTGTACCTTCTCATAATATTTGATCTCATAGTCGAGGATGGGGAGCGCTGTCTGTTCGGGCTGCTGCCAGGAGAGAGCGATGCTGTTTGGAGAAGCCCAGTCCTTCTTCAAAGATCCCACCAGAGACGGACCTGGTTTGCGAACACAAAAGACATTTTCCACATCATTTTCAGCATCTTGACTCCGGTGACTTTGTCGAGAAAAAATCCCGAGGTTACATATTGGCACTGGATGCCTGTGAACACAGGCTGTGCAAACGGTGTGTGACTGTGGAAAGCACTGTGTCAAGAATCAGCTGCCAAAAGCGAAATGAATTAACACGCTACCTATTTCAGAAACGCACCATTTGCCTGCAATAAATCTGTATTTCAACTGTGTAGTCGCACAGAGTTTATTAGACCTCAATCAGAAATATCAAACATCTCCACACAGCGTACGTTGGGGCGACTTCACTTTACAGAATTGTTCATTTAATGGAATAAAATCACATTAGCATAAGCTGTATGACCTAAAGAACCACTGGAACAAGCAGGAATAATACAGTATATATAGGACATGGACACAGTGAGGAAAAGGGGTTCATTTAACTCTTAATCCCGGCTGCATGTAGGACTAAATCTGCAGATGGTTGCAGGTCAGGAGGTAAATGAGAGGATGTTGCTGTTTCAGTTTTACTTGATGTCCGTAAACCAATTGTGTACTTGTTCCTCGCTGCGTCGTTTATGTTGTCGGCCATTATTGTGGTCCATAAATAACGGATTACCGGAATTAAGTTGTAATGCATCGAGTAAATTTGAGTTAATGCAGCGTGTTGTTCTTTATCGCCCCGCGCTGCTTTACGACTGCAGACTTGTAAAAGTAACGGCTTTCCCATCAACCTCAAGTGTAGTTTACGCCGGTTAACAAGTGCTAGCGTGCCCGGCTAAGACGACGACCGGCTTTACGGGCCGAACATCAGCGAGCTTGTTGCCCTTTACTCTGAGTACAGCCTCGTAGAGACAATGGTGGTGCTGTAGACTCCGGTTGATCTGTGAAGAACCAGTTGACCCCAAGCAGGCAGCCACTGTGATACGAATGTGGCCTGAATACAGAGCGAGGAGCTTCTCCGGTCGTAATAAAGGGAGACGCAGGACAACAGGAGCTCCACTGCCTCACAGCGTTGACACATATCCACCTTCTCGGTAATAATCATCACACCTACATGCTCGCGCTCGATTATCCTATTTCCAAATGGGTTTTAATCTTTTGAAGTCACCGAGAAAAACATCCACATAGCTATTCTCCTTCCCCATAAGAGCATCTGGTTTTAATTGAAAATAAGTTGAATAAGCTACATCTTCTTCTCGTGGACTGAATCGCATTAGCTTTGCTCTATGAATTTCTGCTGGGTAAATAATTGCACTGAGCTCCCCAGAGAGGTCAGCAGATGTAACTGCCCTGAGAGTCATTATTATATATTATATCATCTAATGTTACAGAGCTGACTCATTATGTGGATATAAAATGTAGGCCTGCTTTTCTCATGTGTATTCAAAGTGAAATGATGACACTGACTTTGTTTTTTTTCCTGTACAATAGCGTGCCTGGGGAAGCTGTGTGCACTTCTCTCTTTAACTGAGGCTGGGTATTAGCGAGCTGGAAGCTTTGGGTTCAGGGAAAAGATGAAGGATCCAGGACGGGGATTTAGGAAAGAGAGTGTTGGGGTGAGGGGTCGGGTGTTAGACGGGATGAGAGCCGAGGACTGTAGGGGTTTGAGCTTGTTAGCCAGGAGCTGAGAAACCTACTGCTCCTAATCTATTAGAAGAAGCTGAAAGTGAACACCTCCATTCCTACACTTTGTCCCGCTCTCCTTCCTTTTTAGCACCTCTTCAAATTTCCCTCTCTCCGTTCAGCGCTGGAAGAATCGGATTAGAGAGCAGAGGAACCCGTACAGGACGGAGCGGGTGTTTGTGCTGCTTAAACATTAAACACACACTTTTGCATTCACCGCGTCGAGTCTTCGCTCTGTTTAGGAAAAAACTGTCTGACGTGCGTTCTATATTAAGGCTCCTGTCCTTGAAATTGACTCTCACAGTCAGGATTATGCATAACTTTCAAGGATATTTTGCAGAAGAAGAGCAGAAAGGCTAAGCTGTGGATAAAGGTTAAGCTAGGGGTAAGTATATAAAGAGAGGAGAGTCAAGCGGCAGCAGTGCTGAGATTGTGCTGCATTCAAACATATTGACAAGATGTGGGATATTTAAACAGGCTGGCCATTATTTCCTTGACCAACTCATGATATCCGTGCTGGAAAATGACTAAAACATGCAGTTAATCAAGCAGTCAACAGCTCAGGTCGATAATTTTGACTGAATTAAAACTTGGTGACCGATGAAATATGGCCGGAGGGGTGAGGTGTACCTCACAGCATCTAGTACAGAACAAGTTACACGTAATGCATTTTAATGCATGGCTTCTCCTTAATAATCGGCAACTTAATAGGCATTTAAAATGTGGTAGGTAGTCTGAACCGCTAGTGAAACCCGAACAACATAATGTCATGCGTGACTGAAAACAGTTAATAATATTAACATAATCAGCAGGCTCAAAGGGCAGAGGAGGTGTGTGTGCGTTTCTTTATCATAAAAAGAGAGCAGCTGGAGTAGAAAACAAACCCTTGCTTTGCCGTAAACACAATAAACCAACGCTTCTGACATCTTATTAGGTGTTATCATTACATATCACCTCTCCTATGACCGTTTTGCTCCTCTCCACTTCCCCGTCTGTCCTCAGTGGCAGAGAAAATTCATCTCACGGGGGGGCTTTATCTGATCTAACTCCGTCTAATGAAGCACTGCGTTGAAGCGGTGACGTCGCAGGGGTTCCTCTGCTGCTTATGCCAGCTGGGTGCAGCGGCGGCGGCGCAACGTGCTTTGTGGCGAGAGTCGTGTTGCGGAGGCATCAGACTAAGACACAGCGAGATTGCCGGCATCTGCTGTTAGCATATTGGCCCCTGATAGGGAACAATAAACACAGCCTAAATACAATCTCCCTCTGTCTCACAGATTCAAATCAGCCTACCACCGCAAGCCTCACATTAGTTGCGGAAACAAACAAGAGAACACACAATGCGGGAAGCGCACGCACACACACACAAGAAGCACCGAGAGCCGATGTGTGTTAAAAACAATATGTCTGCTGGATAAGTGAGACCATTGTCCGTCTGGCAGAAAATAATCAGCAGTGGAAACGTGGCAGCTCTGCTTGCATGTCATCATGACACAACGCTCAGACTTTCCATCCGACAGCAATCACACAAAAGCCACAGTTGGTCCAATTATGCTATTTTTCTTAATTTTTTCAGCTAGAGTCCTAACTGGGAGAGCCACTTTACACATAAAGCTTTTATTTGATTTTTGCACCTGATCGTGCCACGAGATGAGTTAATTCTCTCGACAGTTTCACCTCCGACCGGCTTTGGACGCTCACACTGTGAATGCATCCTGCGTTGTTTGGAGGAAAGGTATTTTGTGTAATTTATAGAAGTGGTAGACGTCTGGAGAAGAATCACACTGAATGCATGATGGCTATTAGAGACAGCCTGCCAGTGGCGTCCAGGCGTAATGCAAAGGATGTATTTTATCATATACATTAGAGGATGAGGAGGAGTAAACCTGAAGCAACTGTAAGAATACATTTTTGGTAAAGTAAAATCCCACCTGCATGAGTGGATAGCCATGACATTAGCCTTAAAAACCTCTTGTACAGCCCAGTCAAGGACATATTCATCAATGCAATCAATGAAGAATCATTAGAAGGAAACACAGACACTATGCAGCCCCACTGCAACCAAGATCTGTGTTTTTATATCCTAATAATTCCATAAAATCGAACGGAGAAAGAACACTAGACACTCCAGAGTGCCGTGTTCTCCTTTATGCGAGCAGCGGGTGCATCTTGTTTATTTCCAAAGGTATCCTGTCTTTGAAAACACTGTCTCCCGGCACTGACGAGACGCTTTGAGGACACGGGACACACGTCAATTGTCTTTAATGATTCTGTATGCGGGTTATTAAAGCTGCGGCATGAAATCTGCCAGAGGAACTCTCTATCTTTCTCCGAGATGCAGAAGCACTGGAAAGCCATTAGAAACACCAGTCAATTACGATGCCCGATGGATGGATTTTCCAGTCAAGCGTGGTTAAGCTCAACATAAACTAATGGGGAGTCCTTAAATGAGCTTGACCTGCATATGATTTTAATTAGCTTTCCTGCCCTAAAGGCTTCCATTAACTGTTTAAAAAAATCAATAGAGCCAGTATTGATGCCGCGCGAGAGCTTAAACGATGTCCTAACACTCCACTGATTCAATTCTGATAGAGAGATAGCGCGCCGGAGAAGCACGCACGTACACAACACAGGTGCTCCTGTTTACAACCGTCATATTGATACGTCTGTTTTCGAGGTGTCTGGTTGTGTTTGTCTCACGCTGGATCCAAATTGGCCTTTCAGTGTGCTGCTGCTTCTTTTTTTTGTGTGAGAATAGACGGATTTCTGAGAGCAAACACTCGCATGTGCACACACGCTACGCAAACATCCAAATACTCAGTACCTGCATCTGATTTCAGTTAGTTAAATTCAATACCATTTCACTCAATTCCCAACTCCGCTTGTCAATGTCAAGTACGTGGAGTGTTTCAGAAGCACCGTATAGCCGCTTCTGGGACTGAAGTTGTCTCCGGCGTCGCCACCGGGACGTCAAGCAATCAGTCGAAGCAATGTCACATTTGTTGAATGCATATTGTGGGAAGGTGTGTGCCAACCCGGTTCTGTGTGTGTGTGTGTGCCGCTTCTACAAGCCATGAGACAAAATTGGACACGGGTTCTGCTCTGGGGAATATCATCATTACACTTCATTAATACTGGAGGTCATTCCCAATGCACTGTGGGTCATCTGTCCTGCATTATGAACTCCAAGTACAAACACAGACACCACAGGGACCAGACAACAGCCAAATAAACTGCTGGGCTTAAGTCTAATTATAGAGAGTCGCTGTGAAATCCGACTCAAAGAAGTGACAGTTCAGACAAGCCCAGTATGACTAATATTACCGTCTAATTGGCACCAAAGTCTTGAGTTATCCATCTGGGA